GTAATAGTGGGTTATAAATATGGCATCTAGTGTAGAACCTAGTAATAGATAGATACTTAATTAGACACTCAAAAGGCGCAGGTATAGCTAAAATGTATCCTTATCAGAATGTACTTGTTTGGGGTCCTTTTGAAAAAGACACCACATGATCCTATAAAATCTAATAAAAACAGGAAACCAAAGAGGCTAACCTTGACTACAAAAAAAAATATATATATATATTACAAGTTGAATGCTGAAATATTAGAAGAGATGTTGATATTGCCTTTAAGTTATTTTAACCAAAAAATTAACTTATAATCTTTTATAACCTAGACTTTCTGTAATATAATGCCTACACTTTATAATTAAAGCTCTTTCTAAAAATATCTATTTCAGAACTATATTTGCACTTAGACTTTCACAAGACTTCACATCTTATACCTCTATAAAGTTATAGTAACAAATTCAAAATTTTGCTATCAGCTTGATTTGAACTATTGATCTTATCTATAGGGTTTAAAAGCTTAACTAATAAGCTACAAAGCCTAAAATCTAAAAAACAATTCTTCATGCATTAACAAAAAAAAATTTCTTGAAAATTTTATTATATTCTCCTAATATCTAACTTTAATTTAAACATTACCTCTAATAAAAAAAAACCAATTTTATTGATCATCATGTAATTACAAAAATTTTGTTGTTGATGTTGGAGAAAATATAAATCTAAAAACCTATCATGTATTAATATACTTACCCTAAAGTTAGATATGTGCAATTGGTATGTAAACTGTCTGTATTTATGAACATATAACATATTATGTGTGATTTTGCATATCAAGTTGGGGCCAAGTTATACCGTGCATTTAGAGAGAACTTACATAGTGTGTGCACTTATAGAGCGTGCACTTAGAGAGGTCTTACTGTAATACGTACGTACGTATCAGTTTTATGTACCAAATTCGGACATAGCAATAGTCGAAGTTTGGAGTCCGATTTAATTACGAATTCGGAGTACAGACCGAATTTTTTTCTTTTTTCAAAATTTAATATAGTTATGTTATTACGAGAAAAACATGCACGGGACGAAGACTCGCAAGAATTACAAGATAAAGGTTTGCATGAATTGTTCAACGATTCTAGTGAATACATTTTTTAAATAAATATTATGTGTGAAAATTAGATTTCCAACGTTTATTTATTCGATGATCGTTCTTAATTCTTTAGAGGAATCTTACAGAATGGAAAAAGAACATGAATCTGCTATAACGGTATGTCGCCGGGAAATTTCAAACCTTTATTAGCCAAGTTAATTTATAACGATAATTTATATTTAGTTCATTCTATAATGGATATATCTACTGCAGTAATTTTTGATTACGTATATTTTGCGACTGTAAAACACATTCTGGATATTACCGACTATCTGAAAGAAATAACCACGTTTAAGCTTTTAATACGTATCTCTAGCACAGAATTCTAGTTCTTTCACCCAATACAGTCAACTCTGGATATAACGAGCGTTCGATATAATGATAAAAAGTGGCATGGATTCATAAAAAACCATAGTAATTTCCTATAACGAACTTTTTTTTTCTTCCAGAATCTTCAGTTCGTGATAGAAAGAGTTGATTGTATCAATATATACATTTGTACGTATAATATAATACGTACATGTACATAGTTTGAAAAGTCATATTATTGATCTCAAAAATCTTTATCAATTCCAAAGATTATTAATATATATTTAAAATGTACCGCAGCAAGCTATCATATTAAAGTTATTAAAGTAATATCGATATCGATGATAATTGAACGCCTAATATATTGTAATATGCTTGATTGGTCTTGCGCTCGGAATAATTTTTGCGATAAACACGTTATCGATATTTATGTCTATATATACGTATATATCGATATATATAAATTTTCTTACGTAAAATATATATAAAGACACTTTGGAGTACGTACAAGCCGTAATTCAAAGAAAATGGAAGATACACCAGTTAATGCGGTACATATGATTTTTATCGTTATAGAATTTATAAAAATTATTTATTTTATCCATTCATACTTTGTAATGTTAAATAAAAGGCTCATGCTTTCGCCCATGCAGCTGAAGAATTCGAGGAGAAAGAATTGTGGGCTAAGGCGATGGAAGCCCATTTTCGTGCCGCCGGTAATATAAACCTGTCCTTATATTACCTTTTAAAAGACGCTAATTAATGGCATCAATGAATTTAAAAAGATTCCGAAAATTTTAAAATATTACACGAATTAACGCACGTATGCTTTTTTTTGAAATCTTATAGATCAATTTGTTTCAGCAATAAGTTATACATCGGATCCTGAGGTAAAATGATTGATCAATTGATTCTTTTTTGTTTAAAAAAAAAATTGTCTAGCTTTTATCCTGATTTATGAATTTAAAACTTTATAGGCAGTTCGAACTTTAAAATTGTTATATAATAATCATACTAGACAAGGTAAAGAATTACAACGCCGTATAGGAAAGCAAGCACAACAATCCCCAAACCAACCACAAGAACGATTAAGCGTACCGGCTTCTCATAGTAGAAGGTCGTCAACCACTCGATCAAAACCAGGTACTGCTACACCGGAAAAGAGTAATTCTGTTCAAAGGACACATCAATCACAATCTAGACAAGGATCATTATCCACACAACCAACAAAATATTTGAGTTCTCAACATGTTTTAAGTGTTCAGATACCACCTAATAGTAGTGACAAGATGGCTTCCGATCTGTTGAGATCTGGTTTTACCACCTCTGTTGGTTCTAATGGTGGTTCTAATAGCATAAAACGGAATCCCGGATGGCCTGACCGTATGTAACACATAATATAAAAATTATCTGTTTGAAATATTGTCGTCAATCTTTCTGAATTTGTCATTTAAATGTTATAGCTACGGCTTCAATGGGTGTTTCAAGGGAGACGATAACAACGTCTATTACCCCAAGTATCTCATTAGAAGGTTCATCTAGCTCTGAGAAAATTGATGAATCTTATATGGTGTTGCGAGGAAACGATTCGACCGATGTTAGTGATAATTTTTTTAACTTTTGTTGATCTTATCAAACCGATCTAATCTGATTTTCCGTCAATCATTTTCGTAATAGGATGACGATTCAGATCCTTTCAATAAATTTTGGGGAATTGTTGAAACGTTAGTTTCTAAAATATCTAATCCATTAACCAACCCGGTTGCTTTCGCAACTTTACCTCTAAACGTATCTGAATATGCTCGAACGTCATTTGATCCAAATACTATTCACCCTCCTTTACCATTTGGTAACAATGGCGTTGATGTTGGTGGGCTCAAATTATTTTTTTCGATTTTGATTTGTTAAATATATATATATCATGGTTTAATTTTATCTAATATTTAAAAAGATAACGATTCAAAAGTGGATGAGTTAAATGCTGCTATGATGGAATCTTTTTATATTATACCCAAAGAACAAAGATTAGGCGGCACAGCTGGTGGTTACTCTCGATCATCAACATTGTCGCCCGGAACTCATCTCTCATCTGGAAGGTTAGATAATCTTACGTTAAAATGAAATGAATTACAAAATATTAGATTATTTATTTTTGAATTTCTCTACAGTAGAAATACTTCAACAAAAACTTTAGAAGAATATGCGATGGAGAACGCACAACTTAAATCTGTCATAGACAATTTGTCTAAAAGGATGATGGCTTATGAAAGGGTGGGTAACCTATTAATATCAATCAGTGAATTTCGATTATTTGCATACTTTTAATCTATTTATATAACAGGCTGCAGAAGAGAGTAGTATGTTAAAAAGTAGCATTTTACAATTTAAAAATGATTTGCAAAAACAGGTTTGAGCAATAAATTTCTCATTTTTTACTCCTAGATTATTATTTAAATTTTAATCTTTTATTATAGGCCAAGCAAATCAAAGCTAGTAAAGAAATGCTGCGCTCATCTCACGTAGCAAAACAGGCTTCACCTGAAAGTTCAACTGGTAATTATAATTTAATATTTACAAATTTCTCAATTGATATTAATTTTTATTCGATGAAAATATTTTTATTTCCAAAGTTGGCAACGCGCAATCTCTTCAAAAACGTGTCAAAGAGCTAGAAGAGGAACTTCAACTCGTGAAAGCTGAAAATGAGAAACAGGTTTATTCGTAAATCAACTTTTCTACGTTTAATGATTATAATGAATCATATTTATCCTTATTATAATTTTTTTCTTTTTTAGAAAGTTCTTATAGCAAAATATAAGGACCGCTTGGAAAAGATAAAGGAATCCGCAATGAAAAAACGTGTGAATAAAATGAGTGATCAATCAACGCTTCCCGGCAGCGTTGGACTATGAACTTTATGACCTATATGATTTATATTTGGACATTTGTAAAGATTTATGATTTTATAACTTGATATATAATATAATTAGACATTTTAAATTAGTTATAAATAATTTTGTATAAAAAAGGTTAAGACATTTCAATTAAAAATACATATTATTATAAACTAAAAGTATCCAAATTAATAATACCGATATATTATATTATCAATGTTGACTAATTATTTTATTATTAAATTTTTTTATTATTTTAAATATTTATTTTTTTGAAAATTAAATTTATTTGAATATTATATATTTTGGTTTTAATAATAATTAAAATTCTAATTAAAGTTATTAATCAAACTATATATGTAAATTAAAACTTGTACATAGTATATATTATATCAGAATAGTTTAATATTTCACAAAATCCAAATAAATCCGAATTTTTAGAGTTTTTTTAACAATATAATATCTATAAATAAAATTGTTTTCATTGGTTTAAAATAGCTTTTAATCACGTGAAATAATTAGTTATGAGCAGGGACGGTGAATAATATCGATTTGATTTTGCAAAAATATCGATCGGTATGGTGATTTACGCTGATCAACCAATCAGAACGCATTAAAAATACCGATTTACACTAATTAACCAATCATAACACAGAATACGGATAACGTGACAAATGAGGTTTCATACCCTTCCGATGACACAGGCAGTGTTATAAATTCAAAAAAATTTTATTGGCGCAAACGCAAAAAAAATATGCACAAAAAAAAATTTATACGCGCTTTATATATACGGAGAGCGCTGATATATGCCAAATTTAAAACTATGTGCGCTGCGCCTACTGCGCCGATCCAATTTACATCACTGGACACAGGTTGCCAAATTTATATTGCCCGGCCCAAATTATGCTTAATTTTGCCCAACGTTCGTGACGTTACACTAGTGTTCCGCAAAAGATCCGGGTCCGGTCCGGGTCCGGTCTACAGGTAGGACCGTCCCAAATATGGAAACCCTTGGTTGACTCAGGACCGACGATCATGTTATCCATTCAACCAATC